GAGGCTTCCCTCACCTATGACTTGTATTTATTAGTATGGTTTTTTTATACAAAAAACATGATGTGTTTGCTTTTCCCTTCTCATTTACCAATTTTCAGAGCAATTAATTTCCTTTTCTTTAATTTTCTGAAGGTAAAAACTCATTTAAGTAAATATCATTACATCCCATGGATTTAAGTGCATTTAATTGGTTGCATTCCATTTAGAAGTTCAGGTTGTTTCATGTTTGGTTCCTGGGAAACTTTTGAAGCTGGGCTTCTGTTATGGACCGAATTGTGTTTCTCCAAAATTCATATGTTAAAATTCTAACCCCCAAATGACTGTAATTGGCGATAGGGGCTTTTTAGGGGGTAATTTATGGTTAAATGAGCCTATAAAGGTATTTATGGCTATTGTCCATATAGGAAAAAGAAACGGCACCAGGAGTGCAGGTGACAGACAGGGAGAAGATGGCCGTTTACAAGCCAGGGAGAGACCAGCTCACCTGGACCTTGATCTTGGACTTTCAGTCTTCAGAACTGTGAGAAAATAAATCTATTGTGTTTAAACTACCAGTTTGTGGTGCTTTTTTATATCAGCCCTAGAGGACTCATACAGCTCCTGAGTTCTCTTAAAGGACTCTCATAGCTAACTCAGTAACTTCTTTGCTATCTGACGGATTAGGCATTTGAGCATCTATCATCTTATATATCTCCTGTCTCAAATCTAGAAGAACTGATGACTTCTTGAGAGAAATGATATTTCAAGACCATCATCTAGACAAAGGGGATGGCCTCTTTGATTCGCGTCATTGTTTCTTGGCCTTTTCAATGAATTCTTTTTTAAGGTGAAATTCTTTATGACTTTACCTTAGCAATTCCAGTTCCATCTCAAGATTACAGAGTTTTACTTAACCACTTCTATATTGCATCTGTAGCTGTTTTTTTGTTTTGTTTTGTTTTTTTTTTTTTGTTTTTTGAAGCAGGGTCTCACTATGTAGTTGAGACTGCCCTGGAACTCACTATGTAGCCCAGGCTGGTCTCGAACTCACGGAGATCCTCCTGCCTCAGCCTCCTGAGTGCTGGGATTACAGGCTGCCATGCCCGGCAAGTAGCTCTTTTCTTACCCACTAAAATTTTTGATTTATAAGGATGCTGGATAGAATCAGAGACTAGAATTTGACTACTTCACAATTACGTATGTGTGCTTTCCATATTACTCTTACAACAGTTTCAGAATAATAAGAAATATGGTTTTTAGCATCTTGTTTCCTTCTTACTCTTTCCAGGGGTGTATGTTATTTGTACTTGTCTTCGATATTTGTGGTCATCGTCTGTCAAATCCTTCTATTCTTTTTTAATTTTTTCAATTATGTTACATTTGTGTAATTAGCTCTTATATTCCTTCCTTCTAGTTGAATCTTCAAATAGTATAACTGAATTCTGGATTTGATTTTGTTTTGAAGGATGTCTTTCTGTCATGTTTTCTTTGCTGCTCTTTTCCTGACTCGCTCTTTCTATTATGACTCCGTGTCAGACTTGATCCCATTATTTTTTATTGCTTGTTTTTGGTGAAGTTATTTTTTCCTCCTGAATGTTTTGCTTGAAACAGGCTTCAGAATAGATTTTCTAACTTTGTGGGACTAATTATTCTGCTGTTTCCGTGTAGCATTTAGAAATACAGCTGTGCGTTTCTGACACTTCATGGATTTAACCCCCTCTGGTCTACACCTTCTCTTTCTACCTGTGTGGATTGCTTCTTCTGTTGACATTTTACTCCATTTCCAGAAGTTTCTCTTCTGTGCTGGGGTTCTGTTTCAGGAAGGAGGCCTGCTGGCTGGGAAACAGAGTTTATAGGGAGGTCTGCTCTTGTCCCCTCATTCTGTTCTGTTAAGGCTCCATCCCACACAATAAATGACAGAGCGGAACTCTTCCAGCTCGGCTGCTGCTCTGCAGTGCCGTCCTGTGTGTTGCTTACCCCTCTGGGTTCTGCTGTTGTCAGGTCTTTAGATCTGTGTCAGTTTCTTCCTCTCCTTGCTGCCCATTCACTGATGCTGTGAGGGTGTCGTGGCTGTTGGAAGTTTGCCTCATCCTATTTCTGTATTGAAGTTTGTAGGGATATTGTGCTATCTAGTTTTGTGGATGTTGATTTTGGATGTGTTTTCAAGCTCTGTCTGATTTTGTCTAAGATTCAGAGATAGTGAAAATCATGATGCACTGCCCCCAACTTTTCACAGTGCTTCCTGATGATCCCGAACTAACATATCGAACAAGTACACAGCAAGTTGATAGCTATAACAGTTTCTTATGCTGCTGAACAGAAAGGAGCACTTGTTAAATAATGCTGCTGCTTTGGGTGAGGAACTCAGAAAAGCACCCACAGCTCTGGTTGAAGACTTCTTGAATTTATTTTTAATTTTGTTTTTTGTTTAGTATTTCCTGCAGAGTTGGTTTCCCTGTTCAGAAACATGACAGCTGCTCTGGAGCCTGAGTATTCTCGCTGTTTCAAAGCATTCTGTGATTACCATGTTCTCTGTAGCCAGGCTTTTAAGTCTTTTAAGAGTTTCTCTTGTTACTGTGCAGTGTATGTTTGAGTTTTCTCCACTGTTGCTTTCTTATGATGCCTGTTTTATTTACAGTGGAAGAACCATAGTCTGGACTTTTTAATCAACAAGCATCTTCCTATGCTCTTTGTACAGATACTGTGAAGGACAAAGATGTGGTCCTTTCCCTGAGGATTTCCTTTAGTGCATCCTACCTGTGTCCTGGACTGATCTAGGAAGAAAGGGAATGCTTTTTATTTTTTGTCAATTCTTTTCCTCCTCTACTGAGACCCCAGTTCTAAGTTATTTAAGCTTATCTTATAGGTGATACGGATGAAAATATTGTGCCATTTAGAAATATTGATTTTTGAATTATAGCATTAGAACTCTGATTTGGGTTGAAATTGAATTTTATGCTGTCATTGCAAACTTCTAAGATTCTAAATGAAAGTCTAAATTAATCAGTGTAGACCCTCATCAACTTGAGGTGTGTATTTTCACTGAGAGGTCTAAATTGCTATACATGCTTACCTAGAGTTGCTGAGACCTGTGTTTTTTTCATTCTTACATTATGTTTAGCATAGCATAGGAATACGTAGCATTTTTCTAAGTGTATGTTCTACCTTTGCAAAATGGGTCAAGAAGCAAATGGCAACTCTACTGACTTTACATTTTAACCTATTTAATTTTGAATAAATCTCCTTGAGTAGTTCCTAACCTAAAATTTATTCTCTTGCAACTTTTCATAGAGATATCTTCTTTCAAAACAGGAATAAGAAATATCTATTTATGTCTATAAACAAACTATAGATTTGAGGTTTTTTTTCCTTGCAAAATATTGGCAAAGAACATATCTTGAAACTTTGCTTCTTTCTAAACTTTCAGGCTAATTTTTTTTTTGTGTCACTGGGAAGTACTTATCCTTTTTATACCTAGATTTCCTCATGTGTAAAATATGGCAGTAATGGTACCTGTTATTACAGGGTTGTATGAATATTAAAAGAGCTAATGCATAATTGAGTATTTGATATACTCTGTAATAGTTCGGGCAATTAGGATATAATAACAAACGCCACTCCTCACACTGGGGCTTAACAATATTGGTGGGAGAGCTAATTAATTGATAATCACATAAAAATTGCTCACATAATAAGTGCAGTGGAGAGACATTTGCTCCTCCAAGGGTATGTTGTAGGGAATTGAGTTGCTGGGAAGGTTATGGAAAGTTTCCCTTGAGAGGAGCGAGTAAAGATCTAAAGAAAAGTGGAGAAGAATGTACTAGGTGAAGGTTTGTGTTTGTTGGCGATGTGGGTGAGCACATCTAGGAGGAGAGCGTCCCACCAAGAGGGAGGCACAGGGAGAATGGCTAGGAGGAGTCTGGTGAATATGAGGAACAGAAATAAGGCCAGAGTGTGAAAGGAAGGGTATGAGGTCTACGTTACTAGAGAATAGGTTGGACGTGGGGGGAGGAAAGGGCGGTTTGGGGAACATTTATATGCCATGTTTAGGAATGTGATCTAGTGAAATAGAATTAGTTATTGGAGTTCCAGAGACGTACTTTCTGTGATCTGTTATCATTACCGTTGTTTTAAAATTCCCTAATAGTCATTCCTACGCTAAACAGGTTCATATACTTCAGTAATTATTCATTGCTTCTTTTCCCTAAACTCTTATTATTGTGCATCTCTGAATGCTAATTCTCCAATCCTCTCATTTAGGAATGAAGCAGGGATGATAGCATTGTTGTCTTTCAATCAATTTTACTATTTGAAGTAATTTTATTTTGTATGATGTTAGGTAAGATAAATGCAAACCAATTGCCAATGCGTTACCTGCTGTGACATTTATAATTATGCCACTTAGCCTTTGTAAAATGCTCAAGTGCTGTCCTTTGTTGTCCAACTTAAACAAACTAAAGCCCAAGTTATTAGAATTGTTGATGTCCCACGTTGACAGGTGGCTCAGAGTGATTTCAAATATTTTCAACTTATCCAAAGCCAATTTTTGGAAGGGTAAGACCTGAGGCAAAGTGGGAGGAGCTAGAAAGGGGGATGTTATGTATACGTATTTGTGTGTTTGCACATTTTATTTTTATTGATAAAAATGAGTGAATGTGGAAGCAGCAAAGCTCCTCATACACCAAGGGCCACAGCGTTTCTTCGTGCTATAAAAGAAAGGAGTAACTGCTTGTGCCCATCTGGTAGCTTTGGGTAGTCTTGGCGCTCACACCGCGGTGCTTCGTCTGGGTTTCCTCTGGGCGTCAAATCCTTGGACGAAGAGTTAGTAGTTTACAGTATTTTGTTCATGTTTCCTAATGGAGGATAGAGGCATTTTCTTACAGCAAATGCTCTGGTAAACCAGTTCCTCACGTAGAGCACGAGCCCCCTTGTGTTCAGGGCTGATCATAGCGCCTTGTACGTAGCATGTAATCTTGTTAAATGGACGGATGATCATTCTAAAAATCTTGTATGTGTTCCAGGACCTGATCTTCAGGTTTGCACATCCAAAAAACCAACATGTTGCACCAGGAAGATGGAGGAGAGGTATCAAATTGCGGCTTGCCAAGATCTGCAACAGGTACTTCAGACATCTACCTCTGCACTAAAGCAGCTCATCGCTCGAAATGCAGCTGCTTTTCAAGGTAAATGTGGCTGCCTGGAGTTCTGAAGCTAACGACCAGCCTTGTGTTAGTAATTGTCTACGATACCAAACTGGTGAACTTGACTAGGTTTATTTCCTTAGATTCGCGTAGTATTCTAGTCTAACGTGAAGTTTTAGCTTTTTTAAACATTGTAACTTGTTTCTGGGGTCATCATGGTCATATAATTGAGGTGGACTAGAGAATCTGTTACGTTATTGAGATGGGTCTTAATCCTTATGGGCCTCTTCTAGGTTCCCCACTATGGTCCCACAGATTTAGTTCAGTGTGAACGATCAAAATTATTCGATTTTGTGAAAAGTATTCTATAGCGTAAAATCATGTTGCTTTAAGCTAATTATAGATTTATTAATTTAAAAATAAAATTTCAATAAGTATTTGTCTAAGTTTTCCCTCTTCAATTGGCTCTGATTTTCAGGAGAATACCAACTCCAGAGTGCAGGCAAATCTGATAAATAATAACCTGGGAAATATTAATAGGATGTTTAAGGGTCAGCTCAGACCAGAACTCAACCTTAACTCTAACAATATGTTCAGAAATAAAATGAAATAAGTTATAAAATTATAAGGCGCACTTAAAAATACATGATATTTTCCTTATGTTAGTCATCTATAAAATTTCTTATTGCTATAATAAAATATCTTAATTTATTTCCTCTTTGTAAAGCATTAGCTATTCTGTATGCGACTAGAATGAAAATATCTGCTTTTCAAGCAAATACATTGCTTTTTTCGACACAGAATATAACTTCTTTTAGTATTCCTTTTTAATAAGCATATTAATGTCAGTCTATTTAAATAATTTGCTTTATGTGTATAACACAAAGCTGATTAATTTTTAAAACTATACATATTAAATGAAATAAATATAAATCAGAATAAAAGTTGAGCTAAAATGTACACCATGATGAATTGATGACTTTTATATGGAAAGAATAATGGTATGTAAAAATGTTATTATAACTATTTTTCGATGTGTTAGAGCATAACTATTTTTGTTATGGGATTTGTTCATGTTGGGGAAAATGTATTGATGTGCATTTTAAACATTTATAATTTGAACTGGCTAGATGGAAAGGAGTTAGCTATCAACTGAGAGTTGTGTGATGCTTATTTCTCATGAAGCTGATGATATGTGTAATATACAAAACACTTTCCAGAGGTAACAGGTAGTTGATGAAAACGTAACAGCTGGTTGAGTCAAACAGGGAGTCTGTGGTTGTTGGCTACAAACTTGAAACAGTAAACTAGACTCAAGTGAAGAAAAGGTGTTTTCTTGAATTTTTTAAAATTAATTTTATTGGTACATTTAATGTATACAATTTAATGAGTCATTGTTGGAAATTTGTACCTTTTCATAATCAACCTTGGTTCTTATTTTTTCCCCATTGCCCCGACCCTCCCTTTAACCCCTCCCTCCCTCCCTCCCTATCTACAAAGACTTTGTTTCCATTATTTTTCATTAGCTCACATTAATTCCATTCCCTTCTTTCCTTTCCCCTCTCCCTCCCAATTCCCCTTCCTCTTTGTCCCTTTTCTTCCTATTTCACATTATCTATTCCACCTTTTAGTTGCATTTGAAATTCCTTTTGAACAGGATGGCTTCCTTATGACAGCTCAACTTTTAATATCAAAACTAAATCCCTCCAAATAAGAATAAATGGCTGAAGAAGATCATGACAATTCTAACCTATTCTTTTAGATGGTGATTTCTAAACACGTGGGTGAGAAAATGTCATCCGTCACCGTTACTATCTCATAGGTCCCAGTGTTGCTTCCATATTTTCTTCTGTCATCAGACTCTTCACATATTCTTGGATAAATCAATGAAGATCAAGCTCATTAAGTTCAAAAGGTTGGGGGACCTGGAATATTTAGACTGTAGATAGATTGAGTCTACTGAAAGCTTTGGTGATATTGGTAAAAACTGGTTGAAAACCACCAGCAGAAATTCATATTAAGAGCTCATTTTGTCTCTGTTTGACTGAAGAGCAGGTAATTTCATATTGTTATTTTCTGTGTGGTTATTTTCTTGTTGTTTGTTTAAAAATTAATTATGAAAATTAAAAATAAACATTCTTAAATGTGATTTGTTATAATGTTATCATTTTATTGTTCTGAGGAATGTAAAGCTTTATTTAAGAAATGTGAACAGGAAGATAGATTTAGAAGAAATTTGCCTAAAGCCTAATTTTACTGAAATAAATTCTTTTCCAAGAAAAGCTGCTTTTAATTGAATGAAAAAATAACTAGCTTTACACTTATTTTAACAACCTCCTTAAATATATATTAAATAACATTAAATATATATGCTAAAAGCCATATTAAGAGATCATTTTTGGTGTCATAACTGAGCAGACTACTTTATCAATAAGTAAAATGCTCTCCATCTACTCTCTGTGCATTCAAAATATCTGAAAAAATTCAGTGTTTATTATTTTTCTCTCATTGAGTTATTGGTACATTTTAGGTATACAGTACAGTTACATTCATCTCTGGGATCTTGTACCTTTACATGACAGGTCTTGATTCTTATTTTTTCCCCTTATCCCTGCCCTCTCTTCACCCCCTCCACCCTTCCCTATTCACAAAAACTTTGTTTCCATTTTTTCGTTCCTCATTTTTTCCTTTTCCCTATTTCCTTTTCCCTACTCTTCCCACTTCGCCTATACCTTTAACCCTTTTCAGTCTTTATTTTTGTAAGGTGAAGAAAGCCTACACATTTTATTGGAAAACTTCATCTGCTGGAGAGAAATGCAATAGAGGAATCCACTTCTTTACTGATATAAATATACTTGCCACATTTTTACTTTTAGATTTTCAAGTATTTCATTTATATTTGTTACTTCAGCACTGCTACTCTTTTTTGGGTGATATGCTGGGTTATGAAAAATGTTGGACTGGTAGGTAGTTTGACCCTTTCTCTCGCGGATTTCAAGGACCCTGTGGAAACATGTTTTTGGAGCTTTCCTCGAATAGGGTCGATGGGAATGATCACTCGGCTTAGTAGATGCACAGCTCTGCCAGATGGAGGCTGGAAGTTTGGTGACAGGAGAGAGAGAAAGTCATGCTGGTACGGGCTACTGCAAGCTTTATAAGGTTATCCTGTGTACAATTCACATTCAGCTCTGGATCCTGCCCCCTTGGTACGCTGACTAGGCTAGAGTCCGCGTGGGGACAAGTGTACATTTTTTTCTCTTAAAGAAATTTACTAAAGCTTGCTTCAATGAGCTGTCCTTAACAATAAATAGCTAAACAAACAAAAAAAATCTTTTGTTTCAGGCTCATAATTAAGACCTGCATTGTTACTCTTTAAGGCAGTCGGTCATGCAGCATTTTATGAGGTGAAAGAAACTGGTGCTATCCTTGTGCCCGGTGTTCATAAATAAGGAGCGCAGTTTCAGAGCGGAGCACTGGCCTTGTTACAGTGCAGACAATGACTGTTCTTCTTTTCTGGGGTTTAATAATGCTTGCGAATAAAGGGGAACAGGCTGGAATCATGCGAGAGTCTATTTCCCTTTGGCTCTTTTACTATGAATATGAGATTTAATGCCTTGAAAATATTTTAGAAATTTTTAGATAATAGTTTTATTTATTTATAAAGTATAATGTGACTTATGAAGAAATAGGGGAAATTGAAAGAATATTTCACCTGTAAAAAAGCACCACATCCAGAGTTCAAATTTGTCAGTTTTTTATATATTTTTTGGGGGGGTACTGGGGATCACACTCAGGACCCGGTGCTTGTGAGGCAGGCGGCGGAAACACTGAGCTAAATCCTAGGCCCCAAATTTGTCACTTTTAAAATCTCCACTTGAAGACAGTAGTGTTTGTTTTTTTAAAGCTTTTATTTAAAATTTAAAAAAATATTTAAGTAATACAAGTAGATATTAAAAAGAAAATATAAAGCACTCCTATAACAATAAAAAATATAGCAAAATAGTAAGAGAATTACAATGGTCGATACACTGTTTTTAAAAAACATAATACAGAAATTTTAATATCAATCTCAAACATAAAATTAAGGAATACTTTAGAAGACAATACGAAAGCTTGTGTTTTATTCAAACATTAGGGGGATAGGTTATTCATTAAGTTCATTGGCACATTTTAGGTGTACATAATGATCACACTCATCATAGGGAATTTGAACGTGTACATGGTATAACTTGATTTATTTTTTCCCATTTCCCTTTCCTCCCTTTATCCCCGCCACCCTTCCATATTTACAAAAGCTTTGTTTCCACTTTTTTCCTTCTTTTCTCATCTCTTTCCCTTTTCTCCTCTTCTCCCTTCCACTTAGGGAGGTGGGATAAGAACTTGTATCATTCCTTACAGGTGTATCTTTTCCTATATATCTTATCTTCAAATATCCTCTCGTACTTCTAAAATATATGGTAGGTACTTCGTAATTATTCTGGAAAACTCCCAGTTTCTTATATGGATTTCAAAGCAAATACAATTATAAAATCTGACAGCTAATGATATTTAGAACAAGAATGATTTCACATGTTTGTTTAGGATTTCATTCTTTTGGCTAATAAGATTTTTATTTCTTGATTATGAGTACTTGAAATGGTAAAATAGGCTTGTCCTCTCAGATTGAAGTGTTAAAATAAGAAATTCAATAGAAATACATTCCTATATTTAATGAAATAGGAATGTGATCAAAATTAATGTCTTATTTAAAAAAGCAAGTGAAATGAGTATATATATATATAGATATATATAT